AGGAGTATGAAATTTTCCACACTTATAGAGAATATAGAGAAAAAGTGCACAATGCTATTTTTTTTTTTAAATAATGCATAAAAGATACATTAAATCAATTAGGAAAATATTACACCCACTATCATCTATTTGACACAACACATATATTTAAATATACTCTTTGTTTATTGTCAATTGTCAAACTTTTGTTTAAAATCAGTGGTCAAATTGAGAATAGATGAGTATTGTTTGTCTTTATTATTATTTATGTATAGTGTAGTTTTGGCGAAATCTGTGATTATATTATATAATTATAATATAATAGTATTTACAATAGAACCATAATAATGTTTAATCACAAAATTTCAATTGACTAAAGTCAAATTTCTACTACTGCAGGACCACTAGTTACAATTGGTAGTCATTTTGCGGAATAATAATTCTAGCGATGCACGTTAATAATTATTTTATTGGAATAGCTATAACCTCATGGCGCAAATTGAGATAGGTCTATTTTCAGCAGGGTCAATTTGATAGAATGTCACAGTGCTTACATTGCATTTTATACCGATTGGGTTTTGTAATTTTATATCGTAAAGCACCTGTATAAAGTTGCTTTTAAGTTTATTTTATCGTAGAACGAACTGTCTTAAATCAGAAGGATACAATAGTTTATGATAGTGATTAACAATTGAAGACATGAGTGGATGATGGGGTTAAATACCAGTTTTAAGATTTTTGAGTTTTTACATTGAATGATGGTGTATGTACTATAAACCATATTAGATCTTAAAACTCCGGGTTTAAAGGCAATTTTTAGAAATTGCATGTGATGAAGGAGTTATTTACGAAGAAAAAGTACAAGTAACAAATTGTATCATACACCTTTCATCCGCTCATGTCTTCAATTATTTAGTGAATAGTGTGCTCTCTGTTTTAGTTGGTGTTGTGGCCACAGCGTCGTTCTACCGTACTAGGCCAGTGGGCACGAACTGCTCAGTGACACATAGCGTTATTTCGGTCTGTGCGTTTCAAATGCGATCACATATTTTATTTTCAATGTGTACTCGTGTTTATTCGTAGATGACGCGAGATTTAGTTTAGACAGTGACAGCGCGCCGGCCGGCTATTTAGGACGATCTTTGACATGATTCCATTTGTACCGCCCATCTAAACTACGTACTGTTTTACTGACGTTTCCTTGAGTAGTCATGTTCTGACCCACACTCCGTTTTATATTCGATCGTAACGCGACCACACGTCCCGTCTCTCGGTAACATTGTCTCATCGATTTTACGATCGCATCTTAATATCGTTCTCGTGATCATCGGGACTTGTACTAAACAAGATTTGAACGTAAATTTATGTTTGTGCCGACAAAATATGCTTCTGGATAATACAGAGTTGCTACGTCATAAAGTTATAAGCAAACAGATGCGAGAATAGCGTATTGCAGTGTTTACGCGATGCAGTAAGAGCGTCAGAGCGAAATACTTCTGTAATACAGCTTTTTTTTGTTGTTGTTATGACACCGAGATTCGCTTCTGCACTTTTGATAGTTTCACCAAGCGAACGTGCTCTCTATAAATGTTTTGGCACTCGTGAAGTAAATTTTGTTCCCGAGACACGAGTCTATTTCATTTCATAAAACATTTCTAAAGCGAGTTTTATTTCGAAAATTTATTTATAGAAGGAGCATTTGCCGTTTTCCACTCTCTCTCTCTCTCTGTAAAGAGGTGTTGAAAGTTATACGTTTCCTTTCGCAAAACTCAGAAACAACGAGTTATGATACTACAGAGCTAGTATGAACTACAGAGCTACCGTTCAAGACAGAGGATAGTTTAAGACTAATTTATTCATAAACATGATGTGCTTATATACTATTTTACAAACAAGGGATGTTTATCTTATTCTATTTCTACAAGGAGCATTATATTTGTTATCTAATCCTTAATTACTTAAAGTTAAACAATTGAGTTCTTATTATCGTTATCGGGTTACAAAGCGGCTATTGTGTAATAGTCTGATTATGGCTACATAACTAACGTAACAATAAAAAATTAAAGTAACATTATTTTTCATTTTTATTTACAGGTAATTTGTTTCGAGGATCTATCTCTACGGAGTAAGATTTTTCCACGTCAACAACTGCGAGGTTCGGAAGGTAAAAAATATAAGTAGGTGAGTTAAGGGAACTCGACTCGCGGACGTTCGGAACAAATAAAGGCCGAGCGGAATTGCAAAGTTCCGAACTCGTCGCCGTAATTTTAAGTCGGCAAACGAAACTGTGCTATCGGTCGGAATTCCAAATCGACTCGCGCTCAACCGAGCGGAAAGACAACGATGTACCTATTTAAATTAAATTCGAGGTGCACGACGAGTCTTATCGACAAGGGAATGTGGGTCGTCCGTCAGTCGAGTGTGAACGCACGTAATCTCTCATTATAAGCCGTGTGTGGTGCGCGATTGCTTGTAATCTGTCAAATTATTACCGGTACTACGCTGAGTACTTATTATGTTACTAAATTACGCCATAGAAATTACGTTTGATTACACGAAAACAATTTTAATTGTAATTACAAATAATATGTAATGTAACTATAATATATGTTATATATAATAATTTGTATAATAGTTGTATAATAATGTAATTATGCTTGAGACCTTAGAACTTATATCTCAAGGTGGGTGGCGCATTTACGTTGTAGATGTCTATGGGCTCCAGTAACCACTTAACACCAGGTGAGCTGTGATGAGCTCGTCCACCCATCTAAGCAATAAAAAATAATAATAATAATAATAAATAATATAATATAATATCCTAAATTACAGCAAAATGAAAAATATACAGACAAAGAATTAAAAAATGCAGTAGTTAAGACAAAAATAGAGATAAAAGCGAAACCGCTTCACGGTCAATTTTACAAAGCAGTACTAGAAAAAGAAAATATCGACAGAGCCCAATCCTTCCAATGGTTCAAAAGGCAACCGGTGTCTCCAGCATTGGAATCAGCCATATTTGCAATTCAAGATCAGGCAGTGGTGACCAGACAACATGAAAGAGACATAATGAAACGCCAAGTTGATGGTAGGTGTCGGTTATGCTGCATTAAAGATGAGACCACACAGCACATTGTCTCAAGATGCGAAAAGCTTGCTGGCACTTATGACACCAAAAGGCACAATAACATAGTGCAATATGTTTTCTGGTCGCTAGCTAAAAAGCATGCGTTTCAGGTCTCCGACCTGTGGTGGCGAGAACACCTTACGCAGCCGCAGGTTAGGGAGAATGAAGGTGCAAAAATAATGTGGGAGATACCGGTTCAAACCGACGTTACAATAGTTCACAATAGACCAGACATTATTTATATAAACAAANGCCGTTGAACAACAACATTTATTTGCCGGATTTTATTTTTGTTCACCATTCACTCTGCTATTCGCGTATTGTTATTCCTAGCGCAAGTATACGTGGAAAAACGACTATGAATTTACTCGAGATTAAAATCATGGAATAGGTTATTCCTCGTATAGTTACTCGAGTTTAAATTTAAGTTTGGTCGAATCCGCCCTAAGTCTCTATTCCCCCCCAATCTACTGTACGTATTTATAATAGCTTTAAAATATTTTAAACGTACAGTCACGATTCTAATATTGGGATATTTTTGACAAACGCTATTTGAGTTTTCTTTATAGTGTCAATCACCGGCGGGTAATCGAGCGAAACGCAGTTCGGTCTGTAAGTGCTGTAGTTCCACGTAACAGGGCCACAAAATATATGCTGCTACAGAAGTGTCGAATCTAATGTTATCTATATATTAATACGTGAAGCAAAAACTTTGTACCCCTTTTTACGAAAATTGCGCGGACGGAGGAGTATGAAATTTTCTACACTTGTAGAGAATATAGAGAAGAAGTGCACAATGGTAATATTTCTTTTAAATAATGCATAAAAGATACATTAAATCAATTAAGAAAACATTACACACACTATCATCTATTTGACACAACACATATATTTAAATATACTCTTTGTTTATTGTCAATTGTCAAACTTTTGTTTAAAATCAGTGGTCAAATTGAGAATAGATGAATATTGTTTGTCTTTATTATTATTTATGTATAGTGTAGTTTTGGCGAAATCTGTGATTATATTATATAATTATAATATAATAGTATTTACAATAGAACCATAATAATGTTTAAACATAAAACTTCAATTGACTAAAGTCGAATTTCGACTACTGCGGGACCACTAGTTACAATTGGTAGTCATTTTGCGGAATAATAATTCTAGCAATGCACGTTAATGATTATTTTATTGGAATAGCTATAACGTCATGGCGCAAATTGAGATAGGTCTATTTTCAGCAGGATCAATTTGATATAATGTCACAGTGCTCACATTGCATTTTATACCGATTGGGTTTTGTAATTTTATATCGTAGAGCGACTGTATAAAGTTGCTTTTAAATTTATTTTATCGTAGAACGAACTGTCTTAAATCAGAAGGATACAGTAATTTAGGATAGTGATTAACAATTGAAGACATGAGTGGATGATGGGGTTAAATACCAGTTTTAAGATTTTTGAGTTTTTACATAGAATGATGGTGTTATGTGCCTATAAACCATATTAGACCTTAAAATTCCGGGTTTAAGGGCTATTTTTAGAAATTGCATGTGTTGAAGGAGTTATTTACGAAGAAAAAGTACAAGTAACAAATTGTATCATACACCTTTCATCCGCTCATGTCTTCAATTATAGAGTGAATAGTGTGCTCTCTGTTTTAGTTGGTGTTGTGGCCACAGCGTCGTTCTACCGTACTAGGCCAGTGGGCACGAACTGCTCAGTGACACATAGCGTTATTTCGGTCTGTGCGTTTCAAATGCGATCACATATTTTATTTTCAATGTGTACTCGTGTTTATTCGTAGATGACGCGAGATTTAGTTTAGACAGTGACAGCGCGCCGGCCGGCTATTTAGGACGATCTTTGACATGATTCCATTTGTACCGCCCATCTAAACTACGTACTGTTTTACTGACGTTTCCTTGGGAAGTCATGTTCTGACCCACACTCCGTTTTATATTCGATCGTAACGCGACCACACGTCCCGTCTCTCGGTAACATTGTCTCATCGATTTTACGATCGCATCTTAATATCGTTCTCGTGATCATCGGGACATGTACTAAACTAGATTTGAACGTAAATTTATGTTTGTGCCGACAAAATATGCTTCTGGATAATACAGAGTTGCTACGTCATAAAGTTATAAGCAAACAGATGCGAGAATAGCGTATTGCAGTGTTTACGCGATGCAGTCAGAGCGAAATACTTCTGTAATACAGCTTTTTTTTGTTGTTGTTATGACACCGAGATTCGCTTCTGCACCTTTGATAGTTTCACCAAGCGCGCGTGCTCTCTATAAATGTTTTGGCACTCGTGAAGTAAATTTCGTTCCCGAGACACGAGTCTATTTCATTTCATAAAACATTTCTAAAGCGAGTTTTATTTCGAAAATTTATTTATAGAAGGAGCATTTTCCGTTTTCCACTCTCTTTCTGTAAAGAGGTGTTGAAAGTTATACGTTTCCTTTCGCAAAACTCAGAAACAACGAGTTATGATACTACAGAGCTAGTATGAACTACAGAGCTACCGTTCAGGACAGAGGATAGTTTAAGACTAATTTATTCATAAACATGATGTGCTTATATACTATCTTACAAACAAGGGATGTTTATCTTATTCTATTTCTACAAGGAGCATTATATTTGTTATCTAATCCTTAATTAGTTAAACAATGGAGTTCTTATTATCGTTATCGGGTTACAAAGCGGCTATTGTGTAATAGTCTGATTATGGCTACATAACTAACGTTACAATAAAAAATTAAAGTAACATTTATTTTTTATTTTTATTTACAGGTAATTTGTTTCGAGGATCTATCTCTATGGAGTAAGATTTTTCCACGTCAACAACTGCGAGGTAAAAAATATAAGTAGGTAAGTTAAGGGCTCGACTCGCGGACGTTCGGAACAAATAAAAGCCGAGCGGAATTGCAAAGTTCCGAACTCGTCGCCGTAATTTTAAGTCGGCAAACGAAACTGTGCTATCGGTCGGAATTCCAAATCGACTCGCGCTCAACCGAGCGGAAAGACAACGATGTACCTATTTAAATTAAATTCGAGGTGCACGACGAGTCTTATCGACAAGGGAATGTGGGTCGTCCGTCAGTCGAGTGTGAACGCACGTAATCTCTCATTATAAGCCGTGTGTGGTGCGCGATTGCTTGTAATCTGTCAAATTATTACCGGTACTACACAGAGTACTTATTATGTTACTAAATTACGCCATAGAAATTTCGTTTGATTACACGAAAACATGTTTAATTCTAATCTATATTTTAAAAATGAATTGCTGTTCGTTAGTCTTATAAAACTCGAGAACGGCTGAACCGATTTGGCTAATTTTGGTCTTGAATTATTTGTAGAAGTCCAGAGAAGGTTTGAAAGGTGAATAAATATGGAAATGCTCGGAATTATATAAAAAGAAACGATTTTGTAGATAAATATCAAAATTCCTTTTAAGTTTATTTTATACAAAAGCTTAGGTTTTTTATTTATCGATTGAGGCACTACGAAGTCTGCCGGGTCAGCTTGTTACAAATAATAATAGAAGTAAAATACAGGTATATTTCATATTCAAATTTAGAATTCGACTTTTACAATTAATATCCTTCGCGATCAAATGAAATATGGAATAGCGCTGCGTTCTATTAAGCTTCGTTCCTTTTCGCGAAATTGTTTAGGAAATTAGCTACTAATGGACATCAATCTTCCCCGGGGCGTTTTATTTAAAAACAAATTTCTTTAAGAAAAAGAGTGTAATTTGTTAAGGGACGCAAATTAAGACAGGAAGTTTCGAGAAGACAAAATGATAAACAACAAGAACAAAAAAAAGTATAGGTATCTAGAAAGTCTTTCCTTACAATTTGTGTTTGTCCGGAGATAGTGAAAAATTATGACAGCAACGTAGATTTGAATTGTTTGTTTTCTGAATTTCTTCAATCGTTATTATAATAACAGCTTCAGATATCGCACGCTGCGATAACAAGTACCCAGTGATACAACAAAGTGATTTTACGTCTTAAGAAAGTAGCATATAAGTATTGTTTGTGTGGATTACTTTTTTTTTTTCTATTGCTTAGATGGGTAGACGAGCTCACAGCCCATCTGGTTTTAAGTGGTTACTGGAGCCCATAGATATCTACAACATTAATGCGCCACCCACCTTGAAATATAAGTTCTAAGGTCTCAAGTATAGTTACAACGGCTGCCCCACCCCTCAAACCGAAACGCATTACTGCTTCACGGCAGAAATAGGCAGGGTGGTGGTACCTTTCCTTTAATTAGTACAAGAAATCCTCTTCTACCTATTAAATTGGAGAGCATGATTGCTTTATAGCAAAAACTGCTGCTTTGTAAAGTCGAGTAACGCTCACTGGTACTGCCAACCTGCCTATTTCTGCTTAAAGCAGTAATGAGTTCCACATTGAGCCGTTGAATTGAGACTTATAACCCATATTTCAAGGTAGCACTAACAAGGTAGCACTAACAAGGTAACGCGGCAGTTACTTTATTAATGTCTATGATCTCAACTAACACCAGATGAGTCGTGAGTCGTGGTTCGCTCGTCTAAGCAATAAAAAAGATGGTACATATCAGTGCGTGTTCACGATACGCCTATCGCTAGCTGTCAAAGATATATATTTTTTATTGCTTACATTGGTGGACGAGCCACGGTTCACGGCCCATTTGGTAAGTGGTTACCGGACACAGCAACGTAACAGCCCATAGACACAGCAACGTAAATGCCGTCTACCACCTTGCGACATGAGCTGTAAGGTCTCACTTATTACAGTACAACGGCAGCCCCGTTTTGTAAACCGAAACGCATTACTGCTTCACGGCAGAAATAGGCAGGGCGGTGGTACCTACCCGTGCGGGCTCAAAAGACGTCCTACCACCGGTAAAGTAAAGATCTTGTCAACGTTATTTCCATGTCCGTATGTTCTTGCAGAATATAATGCGGTACGGCAGTAGGTAATGGTGCGGCGAATACAGAATTCAGTTAATATTACACCGTTCCATCAGAGATAAAACGTACCGGCTCGAGCTACACAGGCCAACGTATGATTGCATGGGGCCCGTTTGTGTAACTTTAATAACTAGCATGTTAACTACAGTCTAGCTACGTACTTTATATATAAAAACGATTAAGTAAAGACTACTTTGAGTAAACTTTACGATACGTTATAGAGCATTGATTGTAAGGAGTTAAATCGTACTAACAATCTCTCTGTAGCTCTGGTTTTACGGGTTTACTGGTGGTAGGACCTCTTCTGAGTCCGCGCGGGTAGGTACCACCACTCTGCCAATTTCTGCCGTGAAGCAGTGGTGCGTTTCGGTTTGAAGGGTGGAGCCGCCGTTGTAACTATACTTGAGACCTTAGAACTTATATTTCAAGATGGGTGACGCATTTACATTGTAGATGTCTATGGGCTCCAGTAACCACTTAACACCAGGTGGGCTGTGAGCCTCGTTGGCCAAGTGATCTATGCTAAGACAAGTTAGCTAAGACGCGAAGTTTTTCCCGTTGCGTCTCATTTTGTCCCTTACCCGGCGATACGCGGATCGGTGTCCGTTGTTTTTATTGTCATTTGAAAGATAATAAAATGAAGGAGCAAATTAAAAGGCTGAGAAATCAAATAAATTCTCGTCTTTTTTTCTTTCTCAGGGTTAAAGTGAAATTGCTATCCCCTTAGCTCTGTTGACAATAGTTCGCTAGCAAACTCGACAATCGCCTCGAATTTCGAGACAGAGCTGATTATTACCCACTGGAAAATTTATTTAAGTACGCAGTTAGATTATCGTAGCTTACATTATTAGACTTTACTGATGTGCACGTACGGGAAGGCACTTCTCACCTATTTATGCCGCGAAGCAGTTATGCGTTTCAATTTGAATAGTTAGATGAAGCCGTTTTATAATAAAATGGAAGTATCAACTGACATATCCAAAGTGAGTGATAGGGTTTAAGATTTATGAGTGCACGAAGCACTAACATCAGTTCAAACGAGGATCACCACAAAACTATTTCAAATTTTCCGAATAAATCAAGAAGAAATCTTATTTAGAATTTACACGGCACATAAATCGTGTATTACAAAATGGACGTAATTTAAATCTCAATGAATTACGTCTGCTGTAGTTAACATAATTTAACACTCATTTAAATCATATTCTAACATTTTCAGAAGCAATTCCCAGTAATAAATATCATAGTGGCGTGACTGGCGACCTGCAAAACTTTCATTGCACAAATAACAATGAAATTGCGTACAATGGTGCTAAATTTAAATTTGAAATACCGCTCTGTTGTTTAGGGGTAAAAAATGTATTTTACAAACCGCTACTTCAGTAGGTGACCAAATTCTGTATACAAAATAATAATGTAATTTCTAGTAAAACCTAAACATGCCTATTAAAGAAGAGTCAAGTTCGTTCGACCCGTAATAGGAACTTATCTTAATATTAATACGTAAAGGAAAAACTTTGTATCCCTTTTTACGAAAATTGCGCGGACGGAGGAGTATGACATTTATCACACTTATAGAGAATATAGAAAAGGAGTGCACAATGCTAATATTTTTATTAAATAATGCATAAAAGATATTATATTAAATCACTAAAGAAAACATTACACACTCTACCATGTATTTGACGCACACACGCATGCATACTATTTATTTATTGTCAAACTTTTGTTCTTGACGTCTGTGGTCAAATTAAGAATAGATTAAATATTGTTTGTCTTTATTATAATAATATTTTTCTATAGTGTAGTCTTGGCGAAACTTGTGATTATAAAAGTATAATAAATAGTCTTTGAAAATAGAATCATAACAGTGTACAAACTTACAATTTCAATTAATTATAGTCGAATTTCGACTACTGCGGGACCACTAGTATCAGTGAAGAATTGTGTAAGTCTTATTACTACATGAATTTTGAGGGATAACACCGAAATTCAGTAGTGCCTATAAAAAAAAAAAATAATAAT